TATTTAAATGTGCTTTTTGAAATAAGCCCATGCTTGGATGAACTAGAACCCTAGTAATAATACTTTTTAAATTAACCCTGCATATTTTAGAACCGTTGAAAGTAGGTCTCCCCGTTTCTTGCTTGTCTGTCAGAGGTCTTCTTGTTCTTTGTTTTGTTTATTCTAAAATCATCTTCCTCTTCGAAATTGAATATATGTCCCCCCACCCCTTAGGATTTTGCAGGATCGTGGCCTTTCTAAATACCCTAACCTGTTGAATCAATTACTTGATTTACAACCAAGTCACAGTTCTCCCTATCTGATTGCCTTTCTTGTGGATATCTATGAAGACATGCTAGAAAACCAGTGTGACAACAAAGTGGACATTCTTAACAAAGCACTGGAGGTAAGCTAGGGGGCTTGGCACTTTTCCTTTGGTCTGTCAGAACTGGGACTACATCAGCATGGTTCCTCAGAAGCTGTTACCACTCAGGATAGAAGCCATGTGAAGCTAGCCAGTGACTAGCAGTGTGTCACATGAGACATGCTGGTTTATGTGAGGCTCTGTCGTGTAAAGATTGAGTTACACATTTAATTAATTTCATGATTTTTTTCATTTTCAGTTGTGTGAAATCCTAGCTAAAGAAAAGGACATTATAAGAAAGGAGTATTGGAGATACATCGGAAGATCCCTTCAAAGCAAACACAGTTCAGACAGTGAGCAGCCAGTCACTGCCCAGCAATAACACCAGCCTGAAGAACTGGATGGGATGACTTGGTTTTTTTGAGGAACTCCAAGGAGTAGTCTGAAACTAGAGCAGCTGTTCCCTTTGCTTGTATTGGGAATAAAAATGTAAAAGATTATTTATCTCCTTTGCACAGTAAAATGTGCACTGCGCAAGTACTGCTTTTTAACAAGAACTACATGCAATGCTCCTCAGGTGCTGCTGCTAATCAGACTAGCTCTAAGTAATTGGATTTTTCTTCAAGCAAAGTGAATGGGGGATGAGTGGGGAGCCCCATACAGGAATTTTGTAGTCTTAACAACATTCAATCTAATCTCCTAGCATCACCTCCTCCCCAATGAACTGTGTGTGAATTCACAGCAGTAGTGAGTGAGTGAGTGTGTGTGTGTGTGAGAGAGAGCGAGAGAATTTGCAGCAGTAATGATTGCAGGTAACTGTGTGCTGGGTAAGAGGTGACCTGGATCGCAAGCAGAGTGAGCAGGGAGTGGTTATGTTAGATCTGCTATGCCACACTGACGGTATCTTGCTATCACTGTAACCAACTAATGCTAAAAGAATGGTTTTATAATAAAAGTATAGCTTTATCCAAAAGCATTGCTATAGTAGTTTGATTTTTTTAATAGCATTTAACATATACCTGGGAAGTTGTGTCAGCCTAGAAAGCAGCTGGGGAAGGAAGTGCTGCTTGACACCTGTTAGAAACCTGAGACATGGTTAAGCTAAAGGAATGTGCTTGGTCAGAGTTCTTGACTGCAAAACCCACTCACAGAACAAGAAAACTGCAGAAAATCAATGCAGCAACAGATTGGTTCTTTGGGGCCGCAGGGCCTGCCGGGAATCGCGGCTCCCATCTTTCCCGTCTTCTTTGAGCGCGTTGGGCCGGCCAGCAGTGCTCAGCAGTCGGGGCGTTGTCGCCGCTCACCCAGGGGAGTGCCTCTGCGGGGCCAGAACCCCCCCAGGAAATTTTTCAGATAGCCACAATGGCCGAAAATGGTGATAGTGAAAAAATGGCTGGGCTGGAAGCCAAAATCTGTCATCAGATTGAGAATTATTTTGGTGACTTTAATTTGCCTCGGGACAAATTTTTAAAGGAACAGATCAAACTAGATGAAGGCTGGGTACCACTGGAGATAATGATAAAATTCAACAGGTTAAACCGTCTGACAACAGACTT